ATGACCAGCAGTCAGCTGAACAATCAGAGCCCGCATTTGCACTGTGCAGTTCTAACTTTGTGTGATGGACAGAGAAAAATAAAAAAAACACAGAAAAGGCTGAGCATACTTTCCAAAGGGAATGCACTTTTTTTTGGTTTTACAGGATGTTCTGTATATTTTCTTGATTTCCTGCAGCACTGTATGTCTGAAGAATATCTGAATGTTAGTGAGTAAAACAAAGTAAACAGCTCACAGTGCACCTCCTCCAGAGACTTCTGCATTCAGGAACACAGAAGCAGTCCCAGGCTGTGTTTTTGTTGAAGTTTGAAGACCATCTCTCGCTCATGACATTCAGACCCTCGAAACACTCTCGCTCTCATTCACAGTCTTCCACTGTCCAACCTGTCCAACTTCACCTAAAGGCTTCTCGGGGTTAGATATGGTGGGTCAGTTTATAGGCTTCAGTCATGTACTATTCATAACTTTGTGCCCAGCTCAATACTTTGAAACCACTTCCATAGTATTGTCTGTCACTGAGGAATGCGTTTGAAAGAAAACACTGCAGTGGCTGCCTGCTGTTTTATTCCAAGAGTACCAATGTGTTATTTTGGTTATTGTTTGTTGTTGTTTTGATATTCTTGTCCCAAATGTATTGATATACAATATGCATTATATATTTATCTTGTTATCTTTCCACCTCTGGAGCTGAAAAAGAATAATAGCCAATAATATTAAGAAATTAGTCAAAACACTGCTAACATTGCAAATATATCATGTATGTATAAGTGTAATATACATACTGTGTAAAAGTGGTATAGGTGCAGACTGTTAGTATTAGTCAGTTGCAGACTTGGTTAAGATTCTGCTGTGGAGTATTTTATTTCAAAGATGGGAGAAAACAATGATAAGTACAGTAGATAGATAGATAGTTACTTTATTAATCTCGCAAGGATACATTTTTTCACTACAACAGCATTTATAGATACAGGTAAAGCAATAAAAACACAGTAAAAATATAAAATATAAAAATGCACAATATATACAATCAAATATAATACTATTAAATGAACTAACTAAACAATAGTTTAGTACAAAGATTTAACCAAACAAACAAACAGCAGTGTAACGGTATTATAGTCGTGTGAATGATCTGGCCAGAGGTGATTTGTTGTAAAGTGTTATTGCAGAGGGCAGGACTGATCTCCTGTATCAGTCCTTGTGACAGTGGAGCTGGATCAGTCTGTTGGAAAAAGTGCTCCGCTATCCCTGCATTAGGGGGTGGAGAGGGTGGTCCGGGTTATCCAATATGGATAATAATTTCTTCAGTGTCCTCCTCTCCACCACCGTTTCCAGACTGTTTAACCAGTTTGTTAAGTCTGTTGGTGTCTCCGGCTCCAATGCTGCTCCCCCAGCAGACTATGGAGAAGTACAGTGCACTGGCCACAACAGACTGGTCGAACATCTCTAACATCCTCCAGTACCACTGGCCACCGTATCAGACAGCACACGGCCCAGTCGGACAAACTGTGGTCTGCCTGCGAGGTAGTCAGTGATCCAGGAGACGGTGGACGTGTCTAACCCCCCCCCCCCCTGCACTATCTCACTTAGCAGCAATGGTAGATGGTGTTGAATGTACTGGAGAAATCAAAGAAAGTGATTCTCACAGAGCCACCGGTTCTGTCCAGGTGCAACTGAGCTCGTTGCAACAGGTAGATGATGGCGTCGTCCACCCCCACATGAGGCTGGTATGCTAAGTGCGGATATCACCTGCGGTCGGAGGTGGGCCAAGACCAGCCTCTCCGTCACTTTCATCACATGAGATGTGAGGGCAACCGGTCAGTAGTCATTGAGGCCAGATGGAGTCGTCTTCTTAGGAACAGGAACCAGGCACGACGTCTTCCACAGCACCGGGACTTCCTCCTGCTTCAGCCTCAGGTTGAAGAGGTGTTGCAGGACATCAGACAGCTGGATGGCGTAGATCTTCAGGACCCTGGGGTTGATGCCGTCATGTTGATGCCGGTATGTTTTAGTTGTAACCTTTTGAAAACAGCCAACAGATATCAAGGATGAAACCTTTCAAAACAAATAGTCTTGTTTAAATTTGCTTTTGCTCATATGATATTGGAAGTTAACACATTCTAAAATGTTGGGAGACACTGAACTAACAGGCCATCTGGATCTCAGGCTCTGTTTGGCTTTGCGAGCTGAAAAGGAGAATGTGATAGTCAAGCGCTGTTGCGTGCAAGGAAGTGAGCCACTCTAGCTTCAGCAATCTGCAACACACTTCACAGAGGCAACATTGTCTCAGCAGGAGACAGTGTTTCCATTAAACAGGAGGATTTGTTCCTTTTGACCTAAAAAATGAATCACCAGTACGCCTCGATTCGCTGACGGAGTATTCTATTGCAAAGTAAGTTAACATTCGAACCATTCAAGCTGATTAATCTCAAGCCTGACAGTAAATATGTTAGCATTTGAGTCATGCACACATAGAGGAGAAAGACATGGGCCATGGAAACATTACTAAATGGCTAGAAGTATATTTTCGAATGATTTTGCTACCCCAAGCACTTGCAAATGGTCACTGGCTTTCAGAGCAGAGGAAAAGCAGTTGGACAGGTATATGGTATACTGTATTAGACATGGAGCCTTAGGGGAGCTGACTACACTGTATGTTTGTCACAGAGGATTGATGACTGCTTTCTATAAAGGTAAATAAATAAATAATAGCAGTAATCCCAGAGATGTGTGACGGCCATAATGTGTGCTGCAATGAAAAAAAGCTGTGGACTGAGGCTTCTGGTAGAAATTTAATTCACCATGGAATATGTCTCATTTATTTATTTATATAATCATGCCACTTATTCATGTCCTCTTGCAAACATGTTGCTGAAAGATTGGATTCTCTTTGACGAAAAAGCTCAGTGGGTTATCAGGTTTAACTGCCACATATTTAAGTAAGCTCTGCTTTCAAACCTGAAAAGATGACTAAATGTTTTTGGGGAAGAGATGAGTGCTCAAGCAAACTTCAAACGAAAGCACACAGGCTCCTGAAATATCCCTTTTCCTAACATCACACTTTTAGTATATAACAGCAAAAAGAGGTAAACAAATAAATAAAAATAGGGCCTACGTGTTAGTGTAGCTGTTGTTTCACTTTATGGCCTTGAAAAAATCAAAGTCTACATTGTCTGATACAGCAGGCACTGATGCCTTCTTTTCATGATAAGCAACTTTTGTGTTTGCATAACTGTATGTAAGGTTAAAGTGAGTAATAGCACAATGTACATGTGATTGTGCAGTTATTTTTTATTGCAAGTATGAATTCACTGACATTTTATTAAAAAAAGGTATTAGTATGTATTAGTTCAGGTTAGATGTAATGATCCTGCCCACTGGCACTTGTATTGCTTTTTTTCTTCTTGTAACACCATCACTGGTGTGTTCAAAGCATTTAAAAATAGATGCTGCCTCGTTCAAATCAAAAACGTTTTCTGTTTTTTTGTTAATGTTAATTATTTCTCTGTTTTTTTTGTTAGTTTCTTTCCCTGTTTTTTTCTTTATCTGACCAACAGTGTTTGTGTGCTTAAATCTGGGATGTGCTACCTTTTCACCAACCACAGAGCAACTTTTTTTGGACCTAACCCCACCAAATCTGTATCAAATGTGAATGTCAAGGTTATGAGGGTAGCTTCAAACTATTTGGTGCAGCCCTTCTTATAAGACATGAAAGTCAACCTACCGCTTTGAATTATTATAGCCAATTTATTTTTCATTTACGTCCAACTCCGTTTCACACTGCAGGGGTTGCAGCTGAAAGAATAAGGCTATAATATTGTCATAGTGCCATGCAGTATCATTGTGTGAATCAAGTCTCTCCCTGGCTGCACACAGTGGAGGGAAGGATGGACTGGTCTTGAGTTCATCTCAGGGACAATGCAAACAGACAGAGAATCATCTCCTCATCTGTAACTGGGTCATTTACTGTCTCCAATCCAACTGAATTGCATTTGTTTGCCAGAGACAAAACACTGGTCAGTCAGAACACTACAATGTATCTTTGTAACACTGATACTGTGTCACAAAACAGAGAGCATTGTTTCAAGCCAGTCAACAACATATTGTTCTGAACATGACACACCCAATCTCTTACATCACATTAAGAGTTTGACGTCATCGGCTTTTCCGATGCAGTGCAAAGACATGCCATTGTCAACTCTTGTCAAGTCATGTTGGATCATGTTTCCAGTTGGGACACAAATACAAGAAGGTTGCACTAGTTATGTATGTCAGAACAGCTGACTGTTGTATAGATAAGTAGTTCAGTCAATTTTGAAATGCCAAAAATCTAAATAGCTAACAAGTTTACTAGGAAGTCGGCGAATTTAAGCCCCTTCATAATATTTACTTTTTTGACAGGAAAAAGGTCACAGTCTATAAGGGTGCTTTGGTGATATAATGGTTATGGTGCGGCCGGGCTTGGAGAACCAAAGGGCGAATGAGAAGACATCAAACCTTCTTTTTACATACAATTTGCAATCATTTGTGAAACGTGACACTGCAACAATTAGTGTTAGCAGGGCTCACAAATAATAATGCTTCTGACAACTTCTAACACAGGTTGACCATAAACACAACCTCTGAATAAAACAATATGGCAATTAAATGTCATTATCACTACACTTCAGTATTGAGCAAATATTTACAATGTGCAATGTGCATGGCTGACTGGCACCCTGTTCCACTTATATCTGCAGGTTTTGCATTATTTCCAGTTCCAGTTGAACTATGGCTTCTGATCTTGTAATATACCTGTTAAAACTGCACCAAATTTACATTAATGATGAATAGAAAATCCGATTAACTGATATATACTCTCATCTTGTCTTCAAAGAACTGATTGCTGGCAAAAGGCACATGCACCTTTTTATGAGAGAGGGACTGGCCTCTCTTTTATAATTCATAGGGTGGGTCAGCCATTTGGCCAGCATTTATCCTCATTGATTTGTTGAACTCTCAGGGGCCCCTTTCCTTCCACAGATTTTGGGATGTAATAAAAGAGGCTGGTCCCTAAGTCCCCAAAAGGTAAGCAGAGATGGGACTTTATTCAGGATATTCACACTTAAAGCATGAAAGATATTGAATGTAAAATGATGTTGTTTGCTTTCAATATAGGTTGTCTTAGAGATACAAACTATACAAATATAACACCTGTCAAAGAGATTGCTTAAGAATAGTCTAATCTAATTAAGAGTTCATTATCTATTTTGATTGCTCTAGGTCTGATCACAATGTGTTTGAATTGCAGAGTGAAATTGTTATTTGTTTAAAAATGAGAGTGTGGAGGATGAAGACTTTGACATGATCCACGAGGATTATCCCACTTCCCAAAAGGTAATTATCCCTGTTTCCTAATAGAATCAAGGTCTTACAAGAAGGTAAACATATGCTACACTCAAGGGATATTTTTTAATAAGGTTTTTTTAGTCCCCCCAAAAAACTGTACCTTTTAAAACTAATTTCTCTTTCAGTCTTCTCTGAGACCTGGATACTGAAAAAATGCTGCATTCCTCCCATTAGATCAATACTTCACTGATGTCTGCAGGAGTGCAATGGCAACCAGGGCTCCCCGGGGAGCACAACCACAGCTCTGCGCTCAGCGCTGGGTTCCCTGATGACCTGTCCTTCTAGAGACCTGGCCCACATCGATCTCAGAGCTAACCACCAGGCCGGTTAGCACTGGAGCTCTCGAGGGCCTACTATCGGCACATCTGACTATGAATGCCACAGTCAAGCTGAGGCCCGTCTCTCATTCAGTATGACCACAGAGAGTCCCAGATGGGTTCTTAACCAGTTTGTTGATACAATATAAACAGTGTAATCGCGCTAAGAACTATTACTGTATTTAATCATCTTTACAATGCCGTAACACATATACACAAAGGAATACACACATGATTAAATACATAACTGAGACATTCTCATTTTCTGACTAAAACACAATGTCAAATGTCTCAAATGACTTCACCAAACATCAATAGCTTGAGTCAAACGAAGTTAGACGACACAACATAACATCCCTCATAACTCACTGACATCACTCACTAAACTGTAGTGCTCAACATTTATTCATATTGACAAAAGGAAATTGGATTCAATAAATCATCCATCCCTGTGCTTATACATGTCAAGAAGACGTTACGTATTTCAGCTTAGGGAAATGTCAAGCAATCACACCAATACTTTGTTAAGGTGTAGGTTGTGTGTATCCTGTACGAGGACAGTGTTTTCAGAATTGTCATTTAACCCCATGGAAAACCTCGACTTGTGCTTAAATTACTTTTAAAAATGGTTATGTTCCTAACTACATGAAAACTGGCAGTCGATTTCTGGACTTTGTGCAGATTACAATATATTGCTCCCCTATTCCTCCAATACCTCTATTAGTCATGCTATCATTCCTTGCCCAAGCTAACAGGAGTGTGTGACACACTGTCACACAGTACAGTTGCAGGGGCTGTGTGTAAGTGATGCAATTGAACTGGAGCCTTTGGTCTCAGGCTCTCAGGGCTGAGATGCTTTTAGAAAACATAGTTTGGAAATATATATATATATATATATAGTATATATATATATATATAGAGAGAGAGAGAGAGAGAGAGAGAGAGAGAGAGAGAGAGATGCTCTCTCCTAGCCAGTTCATGTTGCAGCCCAAGTGACATCCAGACATTGATGAACAACATGTTGACAACATGATAATGATATATTACAAACAAAACATGAGGGTGTTAAGGATCTTCTCATCCAACTCTTGGCAAGAAAGTGAATAAACCTACTATGCCAATAAGATTTTCATTAAGAAAACCCTATTTTTTTAACTACTGATTATGTAATTATTATATACTGTTGCAGTCTTTGTTGTAACTGAGAAAGTCCCATTTTACAATACAGTACATACAGCATTGCCATTTTGGAAAACATTGTTCACTTTTCTTTTCTTTATTAAAACCACCTGACAGGACGAATCCTCAGGGGTTGTGTTTGCTGCCCCCCATCGTCAGTACACGTCATTTCAAATGCATCCCTGTGACCTGTGCTATTAAAACACACTTGATGTTGCCACTAGTGTCTCTAGATCAAGCAGGAATGAAATAAAACTAAATATTGTTTTTTACAAGGCACATGTTATAAACTTATCAAGCAGAGCTTGAATACCTACCAAAAAACTGAACTAAATGTGCTGTCAGCCTCATTTCCAGATCTTTTAATCAACAGATTAAAACCGAGGCCAATATGTGTTTGCAATGTTATTTGATGATGTTTTGTTCATGTAAAAGTCAATCCTTTTTTACTACTACTCCAGTCCAGTAGGTGGCGGTAATGCACCTATAAGCTGGTTTGTCATATTTATGAATTATTTGCGTCTGTACGTTTTGAAATTCAGATTATAACGTCATTATTTATTAACCCAGAATATGATTATGGTTTCTCTAAAATACTGGAATGAATTTATTAGGCTCCATGTTTCAGGTTAAACTTAAATGATATAACTCATCAAACCCAGCACTCAGGAATGATCAGCCTCACGTGACTGAATGAAATGATGACAAATGATGTAAAAATCTCTCTCTGACTTTAATTGTGTGGCTGTGAAATATGGACTGAGCTAATATCGGAATGAGTGATGGTAACGTATAGTTTACGCTAATTTGAGTTCATAGCATTACTTTAGCAGACAGCTCACGGTAATGTTAACGTTAAACGTTACTATTCCCTTCTTGAATTTTGTTCATTGTTCAGGCGTGTTTCAATCTCAAAATTAGTATGACTGATTGAGAGTTAATCAGAGTGATGGCCAGTGGAAAGAAGCTGCTCCTGTGTATGGTTGTTTTGGGTTACAGTGCTCTGTAGCGCCTACCAGAGGGGAGGAGTTGGAACGGGTTGTGTGATATCAGCTTGAAAGGCATCTGTGATGTTTTTGGGCGTCGCTGTCATCTTGGTGTCCATTTTGAAAGAAATAAGGATGGCGGAAACAATTCTAATCTGTCCCACCGTCTGCAGTGTTCAGACTGAGTATACCAAAACAAACAACAAAGGGGACATTCTTCTTCCCTCTGCGGGTGATGAAAAAAACACTGTTGCAGGTAAACGCTTTATATATGTTTTTCTTTTTGTCTGATTCCTTATAAATGTAAAGTAAGAATGAATGGTTCAGAATTGACAGCATCTATTGGTTATTGTTTCTAGTGTTTGTTGTGCGTGAGGGATCTAATGTGCATTTTGATTCCAGGTTGGAATCATCTCCTCTTCACGTTTTTCTTTTTCCTCTATGCTGCGCTAGGAGTGGAGCTCTTTGGCAATCTAGGTCAGTCACACTACAAATGTTCTTACTTCAAAAAAAGGTGTCGTCAGTGTGGAGCACCCTTCTGCCAAATCTGAAGCTGACGTCTTTTGCACATTTCATTTTTTGGGGATAAATAAACAGTGTGCGTTTTTGTTGCTGACTCAAACACATATCTGATGCATTTTAGTGGTTCAAACCAACATGTCCACTGTGCAGAAGTCAGCATCTGAATGTCTGTGTTGTGCGTCTCTTTGTGGATCAGAATGCGTCGGCGATGACCAGTGCCGGGGAATAAACGACCAGGTCAACTTTAAGCACTTCGGAATGGCCCTGCTCACGCTCTTCCAGGTGTGCACCGGGGACAACTGGAGCGTGATCATGAAGGTATGCACACACTCACACACGCAGATACACACAAGCTGTAGACACGCATCATCACCTGACCACCGAGGAAGCAGTGACGTCAAAAAAATCACTTGTCTATGGGACAGTACCAGACAATCGCATGCATTGAATGTTAAACTTTAAGGGTATTATCCCACTGACACCATGGCCACTTGCCAACAAAATGCCATTTTAATCAAAAAAATAAATAATCCTTCAGTTTGATACTGGTGTATTAATTAAGAACTGCAAACACCTCTGTCATAGGTGTCCCGTGACACTGGCCAGTTATTTGAAGGTGATCCACACCTTTCAGCAAATGAGAGGGATCACTCTATAGTGGGATTAGATAGGACATTGGGTGGGGTTGTTTAAAATCCTGTGACACCTTTTAATAGTTGGAGTTTTTATTTAGTGTCTATTAAAAAAGACACTTTGGTAACCCTTTGTTTGATTAATTTAATACATTTCCCATTCATTTTCTGGGAGGTGTCCTGTAAAGAAATTAGCCATTTGGTTCTGATTATAGGGAAGCTGTTCACTTGCAATACATTTATTTCAGAGTGCACAGCAGGGAATTATTGGGGAAGTATTAGTAAATGACAAATGACAATGTTTGTATGACCAGATCTTTGAAGCATAAGATGAGAACTGTTTATCTCTTTTAATAAGTTTCTAATTGTCCAATTATTAAAGTCACCGGTAACTAAACAGTCAAGACTTCAGAGTAAGATAGTATTTGTAATGCAGGCTGGCGTCTGTGTGCCAGTCCCTCTCAAGGACACCATGAAGCCGTGTCATCCTGGAGACAAGGGCTGCTCACCCTACCTCCGGTTGGTAATGGTGAACCTGGTGTTTGCTGTGATCATAGAAGCAATGGAGGACAGCCACAAGCTGATATTTCTCCCAATGCATGCTCAATACAATCACAAATGAATCAGCTAATATGAACAAAAGACAGCTTTGTCAGTATCAGATAGACATCAAATAGTTTGGGGCAAGGGTGGAGGAGCAAAGCATTTTTCTCGGTTAGAAAATGTGAAAGCTTTTATTGAGTGGCTGTTACTTGTTAAATGCTAATTCTCCCCTTTCTTTCATTTGTCTACTTTGAGAAGAACCTCCTTTTTAAGTGCCCTCAACTGTGTTTTTCCTTGATCTGTGTGCTCCTCCCGGTAATGTTGACATATGTAAATAGGCTAATGGGTGTACCAGTCATCCAGGCAGGCACAGTGCTTTATGCTTTAATGTAAACATTTGAAATGTCAACCCAGTCCATAGCTCTGCGCGGTAAGATCCAACATAAAAACGACTGTCAATCTATGTGCTTGATGCGTTTGTGTGTATTAATCTGTGAGGCATGCCACTGCCTGTCGTGGGTTTGTTTACTTTACCAGCAAGATACAAGGAGCCCCTGCCACTGTCTTACAGCTCTGCCACTGCCCATAGTTATCCCTGTTCACTACTTATCAAAGATCCCTGAGGTGTGACACCAAACTATTCTCCTTTCCACTAATAACCCTCCACTTTTGTCTTCATCATTCTTGCATGAAATTGGCTATTAGATGGTTCTCTGGGACAGATAGAGACGTAATACTTTAATACAATGGCCCTATACACTGAGAATATGTGCCGGAAAAATGCTGAAATGTGAATAACTAAATATCAAAATTCCTGACACAAATCAACCAGAGTGAGAGTGAGGACACACACACACACACACACGGGGGGGGGGGGGAATAAGAGGAAGAGGAGGGGAGAAAGAGAGAGAGCAGTAAACAGCCTCCTGTGATGTGTCTTTAAACTCCATAAAATGGCTTGAAATCACAGCAGGGACATGTTAAAGAGAGAAGGGCTCTTTTCAGTTTGATTTACTTTGAAGCCATCACTTATCCCTGTGGGGTGATTCCATGGGTCTTTGCAGTCCCCGATCTCACCCCAATCGCGTTAACACAATCAAATTTCTGGGCACTATTGAAGTTGCGACTTGCCAACTACCTAATCACAAACGGAGAAAGAGAGGAAGAATTATCTATGAGAGCTTGGCTGCTTGAAACCCACATACTGGGTCAAGCATCATTATCAAAGCCTGTCCTTCTGGGCTCACCAGAGATTATAAAAAGAAGGGTTGATGAACGGGAATGGGGCGGAACAGGAAACAAAAGAAAAAAAATATTATGTCTCATTGTGCCTTTTAATGTTCAAAAGATGGATATAAATTGCTGCTTTCAAAATGTGCCTCGCTTCAGTTATCTTCCTTCATTGCATCAAAGCAGAGTGATTATTTAGTAAGATACAGTGTGTGACAAGATGACTGTGTTACTCTCAGCTGACGGTCCAGTAATGGGAGCTTTAGGAGAGGTGACTATGTTGCATTCGAAATTTGAGTTTGAGTCTCGTTCCGTACCTTCCACAACTGCTGTGATACAGAAATACTCTGTCTGTACAGCCCGGTCTCACCACTCTCATCGACCAAATATCAGCAAATAAGCTCCAAACTGACTGTTGATTAGCTGCCCAACTTCAAACGGTAGTCAAAGTTAGTTGGTAAACTGGAACATCTAGCAAGCTTTAGAAGTAGACACATGGTTTTGTTAGCAGAGAAAACAATGCAGCTTAAAGTCGGATAAATACTGGACAGGACTACACATATATAAACCGGCGACTGTTTGCTACAGTCAGCCCTAATAACTCAAAATATGTATTGATTATTTTGACTTATCAAAGCCTTAGCAAGAGTAGGTCTAAACTTGACACATGAAGCATTTGGATTTTCATCGTGGATGAGCCTTTTAGACATATGTCGACCTAATGTCAGTTTTATGTCTTGTCTT